TATATCCAATGGCATGAGCAGCTATTTCAAAGGTAACGAAATACATTATGGTAACCATTTTGGATTTACTATTATCTTGTTTTGAATTCCTTTATTGTGTTCATTGTTTTTATTGATTCTCTTTTTGTTGGATTTTACTATGTCTGAATTTATGGGCAGCTGTTTTGAAGATAACAAGCACCATAGTAATCATTGTTGATTTCTTATTATCTTTTTTTGAAGTCTTATATCACAATGTTTTGATTAATTTTATTCTGTTTTATTTTGCTTGTTTTATTGTCTTTAAAATAAAAATTACAAAAAAACAATTTACCTTACGACTAAAATCAGTATTTTTCCTTTTATCTTAGAAACCAGAACAAGTCAAACAAAATAAAAATATGTGTGAAACCAGTAAACATACAATGTCTTGACCCTAAAATAAATGTAAGAACTGTCCATAGCAATTTCAATCATCTATTGACAAAAGCTGAATAAAAATATAAACAACAAAAGAAAGCAAGATATCTATGGGGAGTCTACAGTCTCTAAAAGCAACAGTCAGAATACCCCTCACGAGTGTGAGAAACACATGCTGAAATACAAAATCTGTGTTATCATACTAGTGATTACAAGAACACAGCAAAGCAGATCCCATAGCCAAAGCCTGGCTAAGCCTCATTTGGTTGAAGTAAAAGAAGACAAGGACATTTAAAGCATCATTTAAATCTACTCTATTTATAGACTCTGACCTGGATAGGAGGAAGTAGAAAACAGGGAGCCTTTGGATCGTGAACTATACAGAAAACATTCAAATAGCTATTCCAAATCATGCAGCTCACTAAATTATTACATTATCATTCCATGTAAACAAAGATAAATATAAAAAGAAGAAAAGTTAATATGAGAGTTATATTAACCAATGTCAAACACAAGAGAAATATTGATTTAGAGCAGATGACTATTATGACCAAAATTTTCATATGAATCTTTTTAAAAAATGTAATAATAATCTATCAGAAAGATATAAATTAAGAACTCATCCTAAACTGATAAAAACTTTGCAGATAAAAAAGAGAAAGAACAAAACTGTCACAGAAGCAGAAATCACTGGGCAATATGTAAATAAATGTGATAAAAATTAGCAAGTGAATTGTAGACTAGCAGTCAGATAAGCAAATGAAACAGAATCAAAAGAACTCAAAAGATGTAAGCAAAAATACTGATCATCTAAATAGACATATCTATAGATTAAGTACCACAGCAGAAAAGTGAACTAGTTGTGCATGACACATATACAGTTGTATAATTGAGAAAATCATAAAAGAGTTGAGTACAAACTATTATTTTAACATACCACATCACCAGATGTAATGGAATGAGAAGAGTTAATACAGGGACAAACACAAATAATATCTTGAGTTATCTACAAAAGGTTAAAAATATGACTAATCTCAGATTTTTCCATAGGAACATACATTGTAAATTTGTTGTTTATTTCATTACAAAAATTTTTTTTTAAATTTTAAGAAAATTAAATGTAATCTAAGAATATTATTTCAACCAAACTATCCATCTGGCATAAATGCTTCACATAAAAGTTCTAAGAAATGTAAGAACTCTTAAGGAACCTATTTTGAGTTGCATCTGAAGAAAAAAATATTAGAAATTCATTTTGAAAGAACAGTCAACAATATTTGAACATTTATATCTGGCTATAGAACTAACACTAAGAAAAATGTGGTACTCAGGGTGACTAAACTAAATGTGTGTCTTTAGGGGCAAAGAAATTATAGTCGTGATTCAATCTGTAAAAAATAACAGTAAGACAGAAAGTGAGAATTAACATATATACTGCTTATATCTACAACCTATGATAACTATAAATCAAAGGATAAAGTTTAAACATGACATATTAAATATTACAAGTATGTGTGTGCACATGTGTGTCTGGTGTGTGTCATGTGCATATGTATTTGTCAAAAGTATAAGAAATAAAAAGAAATATATTTTGATAAAATCAAGCAGCATGGGAGAATGAGAAAGAAGAGCTTTGTTATTACAGTTGTATTGTACAATGTATAATTATAATTGTCATTGTAGAAAATTTAAGATATGGTACACTCCAACAAAATAGGGATGTGAGGATATTATATAAAGTTTTAATTATATTCATATAAGAAGAATATAAACTGTGAAGTATCTGAGGAGCTACATAACAGACAAAATACAACACCAAACATAAATAGGTAGGTAGGCATGGTGGCACATGCCTGTAATCCCAACACTCAGGAGGCTGAGGTAGGAAGATCACGACACATTCAAAGCCAGCCTGAACTACATAACCAAAAAATGTAAATAAGTTTATGTAACATGTTGGAAGAAAAAATATTTGTACTTGATGAAATAATTTAACTGGGTTACATAAAAAGAAATACCTTTAATGAAGTGCTTTGAAAAGTCTAAAAATAATAGACAAAGCTATAGTAAATATAAAATTATAAAGATCCTTGTTTCCTAAGACACTGTCACCCTGCCAACCCCTCAATAACGTATGTCCGTAAAACAAAGAGAATAAATTACAAAAAATAAAGATGTAGAGAGAGAAAAGAAAGATGGAAGGAAGGAAGGAAGGAGGGAAGGAGGAAGGTAATCATTAATAAAGTGTGATTTTACTATGAAAATTAAATTCTCCCTCCCTAGAAAATAACTGAAGCATTTAACCTGGCATACGTGAGATTATTCCTGATCTACTGTGGTTGTGCATTTTTGCCTTTAATTCTGACTTATGTCAATCTACTATTTTCCTTGTAACTGAAATATTAATCACCTAAAATTCTTAATTGTTTTGCTTTATATAATATTCACTCTGTAAAATACTGTTACTTATAAATCCAATTATAAACTTCATCAATTACTGCTCTTGTTGCTATTTATTGTACATGACAAGAAAATTCATGTCCTTTTGGTGGATTATAGTAATATTTTCTATAAAATACCTTAGCAGTCTGCTTAGATATTTTTCTCAATGTATTATAGAATTAGCACTTCTGATGAGGTTTCACTTATTAAAGTTTCTTCTCCGTGTTTTGCTTTGAATACTTCAATATTTTCAAGTGCCGCCTATAACTGTTATGAGTAGTATTATGAGTAGGTTTTGAAGTAGTAGACACACAATAAATTGCTTGTCTGCATAATGATAACAGTCATGTAACTTCCATGTGATAGGACACTAGCATGTGTAAAATTTATGCTTATTTGCAAAAATGAAACAAAAATTTAAAAGTACTATAAATATTATTTTGGTGAAAGTATTATCATAATTACGATAAGCTCTTTATTTACAGAGTGCATTATGGGGCAGAATTTATGTGCCTGGGCCAGGTATAATTTCTAAGATCAAGGGAAACCTATGAAGATAGTTATGAATCATGCACTTTGTCTAAAAGTCAGGATGGCATTTAGGAATGGCTATGTCTTCATAAAGAGAGAGAAGAGACACATTTCTAGAAAGGTCTAAGAACCCAAGAATCATTTCACAGTAACATTACATAATAAAGAGTTCCTTAGTAATTTAAATTAGACAAACTTTTGAAATAAGAGTTAATCTGCAGAGAGTGGAAAATGTAATTCTTCTCTTGCTATAAGGGTTAAAGATCTAAATATTTACGTGCAATCTTGTATGGAGGATGATGGAGAAGTGAAACAAAAGATTTTTTAAAAGAAAGAAGGGAAAAATTAAAAACAGAAAAGGAAAACAAGGAAACGATGCTTTTGGAAATGGGGAGAAGAGGAAGGGTTAAAAGGAGTGTAGGGAAATAGGAAAAAACTGAGTTATATTCTGTACAAGTACAAATCTCTATGATGAATGTGATCCTTGTGTGTATCTAAAATGTACCATTGAAATTCAATTTAAAAGATTTTATATTCTTTTTCCTCATGTAGACAACTACTGTCAAAAATGTTTTAGTTTTTACGTAACAATTTTACTTAATAGCTTTATTGAGGTATGGTTGAAAAATTATTCATGTTTATGTGTATAACTTGATCAGTCTGAACAAATTAAAATGTGATACCATCACCACAATCAAGGTAGTGGACAGGACATATTCAATACCACCCAAAATTTCCTTGAGAACATTTTAAGTAAAAAGGAAAACTCTAAATGTAATCAGTGACCATTTTTATCATGGCTCCTTTCTCAATAAATGTCACCTGATCAATAAGGTAATACATTACTTTAAGACAGTGTTCCATGTAATATTCATCTGAATCATCAAGATAATGAGCTAAAAATATTTTGGAACCAAGATATCTATATCTTGCATAAATCTTTTAAATTTCTTAAAAATATGTAACTCTTAATGTGAACCCAAACTTTAGATTCTTTACTAATACTATAATCATCAACAAGATGAAAATTTCAATTTTTGCCAGTTTTCTAATTGGCAAATTCCCATGTTCAAGTTTGCAAGATACAATGTAGGACACTCAGTTTCAATACTTTCTGAAATTTCTGGTCTCATATAGTGTGGGACACACTCTAGAAAATTGTTCAATGTTTATCTAAAATTCAGGTATCTTGATGTCTTGCATCTGTACCTGCTAGATCTGGCAACTCTAGTAAGGGTACGAGTATGCACCAAAATTTGTAAAGCTTAACCTTAGGGAAAAAAACGCAGTTCCATAAAAGGATATTGTCTCAATTTGCATCTTAGCAAACAGTAGCTCTGCCTGAATTAACTGTGTGTGGAAAAGAAAACCCTGCTGAGAACAGTCTGCTGTCCACATGCACACAATGCGCTGGCTAAAGATTGCCAAATACCACACTTGTCAAAATTAACTAGGATTTAATGAAGATAACAACAATCTGCCTTTGACATTCCAGCCTTCCTCACAAGACAGATTATAATCTAAAACAAAAAAGGTGAAGAAAATTACAGCAAAATCTGTGAAGCATTTGTAGATACCAAACTACATCAGCTCATCTAGAACCTCATTGACTGTTTCTCTTTTTCAACATGCCATTTGAAGAGAAGAGTATGTTAATACTCATAGCAGTTGGAGAGTTTTCAGTGGGCATCTTGGGAAATGCATTTATTGGATTGGTAAACTTCATGGACTGGGTCAAGAACAGGAAGATTGCCTCCATTGACTTAATCCTCATGAGTCTGGCCATATCCAGGATTTTTCTGTTGTGTGCAATATTACTAGACTGTTTTATTTTGGTGGTGTATCCAGGTATCTATGATGATAATGAAAAAATGAGGATCATTGACTTTTTCTGGACCCTAACCAACTATTTAAGTGTCTCATTTGCCACGTGTCTCAGTATTTTCTATTTCTTCAAGATAGCAAATTTCTCCCACCCCTTTTTCCTCTGGGTGAAGTACAGAATCGACAAGGTGATTCTCTGGACTCTACGTGTGTGCTTGGTGCTGTCCGTGTTTATTAGCCTTCCGGTCACTGGGAATTTGAATGATAATTTCAGACCTTGCGTCAAAGGAAGAAAGAAAATGAACTTCACCTGGAAGTGTGGAATAAATAAAGACCACTATGCTTCAACTAAGGTATTTCTCAACCTGGTAACGCTGTTCCCGTTTGCTGTGTCCCTGTTTTCATTTCTCCTGTTGATCCTCTCCCTGTGGAGACACACCAGAAAGATGAAGCTGAGTGCGACAGGCCACAGAGACCCCAGCACAGAAGCCCACGTGAGAGCCATGAAATCAGTCATCTCCTTCCTTCTCCTTTTTGTTGCTTACTATTTGGCCTTTCTCATAGCCACCTCCAGCTACTTTATGCCAGAGACTGAATTAGCTGTAATTTTTGGTGAGTTGGTGGCTCTAATTTACCCTTCGAGTCACTCATTTATCCTAATTCTGGGGAACAATAAATTAAGACAAAGAGCTTTAAAAGTGCTATGGAGAGTGAAGTGTATTTTCAAAGGAAGAAAAATTTAACATAAACAAATTGGAAGAGAAGTTGCCTTTCTAGGACAAAGGAAGATAAAGTGGTTCTTAATTATCTTGGGGTTTTTTTTGAGACCATAATCATAAGTGAAATAAATCAGACCCACATGTTTATTGTATAGTCTCACTACTGTGAGAAGCCGAGTGAGTAAATAGGACCTAAAATGTGCAACAGATATTGTGAATTGGGAAAAAACTGTTCAAAAGAGAAGAGAAACTGTAATAGGGGAAAGGCAAAAAGAAGGAAGGGAAAAGGAAAAAATATATATATATATATATAAACAAGATAGTTATACTGCTAGTTTCTCTTAGTTCATTGAAAGGAAAGGTTTGTGCTAATATTGTTTGGATACAGCCTGTATCTTATACTCTGAGTAGCTACTCTGAAGATAACAATGTGCAATGTATTATTATACTCGTTATCTTGTTTTGAAACTCTGTTTTGATTTCTTTTAAAATAAAAATTACCTTGATTTTTGCATTAATGTTGGGATTGTGTGGTTAGTGGCACTTAAAATTTATTTAGTATACTTGTAATTTAGGAAATCTCATGTAAAATGACTGTGCGTGTCTGTATGTGTCTCCCTATCTCTCCATCTCTCTTCTTCTTTTCATAGTTAGTGTTTTAAAAAAATGTTATAGAACAAATTGTCTTTAGATTCTAACATTAACCAGGAAGGAAAAGGGGTTCTCATAGTTCTAAATCAGTTCTCCAGATACAAAGTTCATGGTTAATTCAAAGTAACTGTAATAGGATCGTGCTGCTATTTGCATCCTTATGAAAAGCAGATGTTTCATTCTCTTGGTCCTAGTTAGACTATTCTTCTCGGATCATGCAACTCAGCTTCACCTTTGGAAAAGAATCAATCCAGTAATAACTCCTAATAAATGCTGTACAATTATAAGTGTAGCAGAAATTAATCCTGGTTAATCATCATTAAGATTGTTTTAGGTTGCCAGGCGTGGTAGCACATTCCTGTAATCCCAGCACTTGGGAGGCTGAGGAAGGAGGATCACTTAGAGTTTAAGGTCAGCCGAGGCTACAGTAAGACCCTATCTCCAAAAAAGGATCATTTTAGGATCATAGATAAATAAATGAAAGATACTCTAAAAGCAAGGAAGGACATTTTTATCTAGAAAGTTTCTATAAATAAAGAGCTTATTGATTACCCATGAAAAGAATTTTCTCCATGAAAAATACATGCTGTACATGCAATGATTGTCAGGATACTGTGATGACAAATTTAAATATCACATTGTATCTCTCAGGTGAGAAACTCAAAGGATAAATAAGGAGTAAAATGAAGGACACATATTGGGAAGAAAGAACATTTTCGAATGGGAAAGGGAAAAAAGCGAGGGAGGGAAGAGAAAGAAAAGGAATTTTAAAAGGAGAAAGAAAAGGCAAAATGGAAATGAAGCTCTTGTAAATGAGGAGGGGAAGAAAAGTTGAAAGGAGGGGAAAGAAACAGGGAAAAAATTAAAACAAAGACATGTACAGGTACAAATCACTATGATAAATGTTGGGGACCACAATTTCACAGTGACTGGTTTTGTGTATTTCCCTCTGGGATGAAAGGAAGGATTAGAATTGTTGGTATCATCCATCTGGGATTTCCCATTGACTCTTCCAAGCATAAGATCATCTACCCCTTTTTAAACCATCACAGGATTATACTTAAATCATCACAGGATTATTCTCGGGTCAAGATATTTCAAACGTAAAATTATCTATGCCTTTGGAGTCAGAGTCTTTGGATGAATTGTAATCCTTTACTGGTCACACCTATTACTGTACAGACCAAATAAACAATAGCTGTTTGGGGAGTGGAGGAGTCAGATCCAGAGACATTGACTTCCCAGCCGTTGTTAGAATATACTTGTCTGTTTTTATTTTTCTCGCTACATTCTTGAAACTGACAATTGGGACTCTTCGCCGGGTTCCTGATAAAATGTCATCATTATGTGGACCGATATACACTAACAAAAATTTCAAGAAGGAAAAAAAACCAAAGATACTGGGATGAGTCCTTCAATGAGAGTCATAAATTAAATGTTGAAATGTGAAAATGTCAAAACTGTCAAAGAAATATTGATTCATTTTAAATCATCTCTAAATGCAGAGGAAATGTTTGGATTGTGTATAACATATTTATAAGACATCAATTTGGAACATCTCATCAAAAGCACATCATTTGCATGTAGCAAAGATATTTTATGGTGACCAAGTCCATTACTAACCAGCCTAGAGTAGTCATGAACTTTGTGTATAGAGAAGAAACTGTAAATAAATGAAGGCACATTAAATATTATAATCAATAAATTTGGTACCAAAATTATTTTTATAATAGCTTCATGTGTTATTGTCTATCTTATGGATTAAGGAACTGGTGGTCAACTTAATGCCAGCATGGCACTAAGCGTAGATGCTCCACCTGAGGAAAGTTGCCAGCATAAATAGAGATGTGGAAAAGGAGAAGCTATTGCATTGAGACGTTGAGACATTGTGGGTTCTCCTACGTATTGCTGCTTGAGTGGTTTGGTTCTCCTGGAGAAGCTTTGGTCCTCACATCAAGCATTGCTTCCTGGCTATGGAGGGGAAGATGTATGCCACTTGGTCTCCAGGATGAATTTGTCATGCTGGATTCCTGGCATGTACTCGATTGTGCTTATCGTCAGAGGAGCTCGGGGCCTCCATGGTGCTAAGGATTACTGTGATGCTTTTCAGGACAACCCTGGTCTTTGTTATGAGTGTGTATTCTTGGCTCCAGCGTAGAACCCTCATCCCACCAGCACAGTTCCTTCACCCTGCTGGCATGGACTTTCTGGCCTCCACCACTGACCTTTGGGCCTTCTTGGGACGGATCCCTAAAAAAGACTGGCGTGAGTCCTTCTTGTGGGCTCTGGACCCCCAGTTGGACTCATAGGAGGCAATGTCATGAGCTCTGGGTTTTCATCTGGACTCATGTGGGACATTGCTGTGGGATTTAAGCCCTTGACTAAATATTCTATGTCTTTGGTGTTGCAGATAGATTTCCTGCAGTTTCTCTTGTTAACTCTGGGTAACCATCATAAAACAATATTATAAACTCCATGTCCTGATTCTAATTGTTCTCTGCATAAGCCCTAACTACAATAGTTTATGACAATAGAAAATGTACACATCAATTTAATTGACACAACTTAAACAATTGATTGAGAACACTGTAAATTAAACAATAGAAAACTAAGTGTGTAGGCTGTATATTATCTTCCTTTATAACAAGAGAATAGAAGTCCCCCACCCCAGCAGAAACCCTAGTGCTGAAGGTCGTAGACTCACCCAGAGGATGTTCTGTAAAGTTCCCATGTAGGAACTGACCCAGGAGATGTTCTCTACATTTCCCACAACCTAATTTTTACTCCTGCCCACATACCCAACTCGGAATCCCTGACTGAACACCTTCTCAGACACTGGGACAAATTTGCCCTCCCCACAGTCTATCTCCTTACTAACCTGCAGTAACACCAGGAGATAAAGACAACTCCTTGAGCCCACTCCATGCTAGGTCTGAGTCTGTCTGCCACAAGGCCCCAGCCTCAGTGAATTCAGTATATAAACCTCCCCTTTAAGAAGTGGCCAGCATAGATGCTACTCTCTGAGTTCAGTCCCCTTTGTAGTCATAGATTTTCAGCAATGCAAAGAAAAACCACGTAAATTTTCCAAGGACTCTGGCTAGTCATTGATGGATTCCATACCCTGACAATGCCTTTTGATCTGACCTGGCAAGATGTCTAGTTCATTATATTTGTTTGTTTGTTTATTTTTTGCTGCATAATAGAAAGAAAAAGAATTAGAAGGGCTGCAATACAGGCCAATGATGAGATATTTGAAGATGTACTCAATGATAATGAGTCACCTGATGCAAGATTTGGGGACCAGAAAGGCCCCAGGTGGGATTATAAGACTGGGAGAGAGAAACTAAGAGGAGGTTATACTAAGAGGAGGTTATACCTCTGGTCATCCAGCACTCTGGTGGCCAGGGAAGAATGAGAATGCATGGACAGTGGGTGACGGTGCCTAAGGTGGCCTGTGTGGCCTTGCCCAGGAACATCCTCATCTTGTAAGAGCCTTGAGTAATTCTGGAGGTAGCAGTAGGCCTTTCTGATATTGGGGTATACCTGACTGAATTCTAACTCCTTATTGGCATGAGTTATCACCTCATTCCCTAGTTGCTGTGGGCCTGAAGGAGTTAGCTAGTCAGTTTTCTTTACTCCTACTCTGAGCTACCAGTTGGGAGATTTCCTTTTCCAAGCTGCTTTCTTGATAACACCTAAGTACCACACATCGGTAACTAAAAGAGATGTATTCTCCCTATTGAGGTCTCTCTGTCATTCAGTCCTCTGGCAACCTTTGCCCTGGTTGCCAAGGACATGGCAAGCTGGCTCTACAGGCCTGATTTCTCAGCCAGAAATTGATCCCTAAATGTGGTAAGATGTTATTTCGCAGCAGGCTGTCTAGGCCACCCCAGTAATTGTTCAAAGGGCCCTAGTACACACTCTCACAGAAAACAGTATTACCTTAAAAGAGAAGCTAAGTAGGGGCTAAAGCCCACTATTGACAAATTGTTGGCAACAGGGTTCTGCTACTGGGCTGGTCCCTAAGCAACACACCCAATTCACCGATAACCAAGCCTTTAGGACAATATCATTAGTAATGCAATGGTTCAAAGTCACCTTACTAGTGGTAAATTCCACACATCCTCCTTGCACAGATCCTAGGAGACTCTATCTGGTTCTGTCGTTGATCTCAACCATATCCTTTTTTCTATTCCTGTGCATGCTACCTCTAAATCCTTGTTAAAGTCACCTCTCCAGAGTAAAACTCAATTCCTGGTGAGACACCAAGAGACAACCACAAGCCCACAGTTGTGAGCCAATGGATGGCCTCCAGTTTCTTTTCATAGGAAAGAACACCAACCTACCTGCAGAGCCAAATAAGAAAACTTAGGTTCACTCTAACTACAAGGAAAAATCGGCCCACTTCTGGAAAGAGCATCCCTCCCTACATGTCTTATGTAGCTAGTTTTGTTGTTCTCTTGCTTTCCACAACCCATCTCTGTGTTGACTATTGGAAATAATTTCTGTCTTGAGACTCAGGGACCCCTCTTCCTGTACAGGTCTTTGTATAAGTAGGATGTCCCTATTCATCAAGAAGCAGCTGCAGAAGATGGACATTCTACCCTCTGCAACCCTTAAAGATTCCCCAGGGACGAGATCTTTCTAAGGAAAGTTCTATAGTTAGCACAACCGAGGCTATGGGACTGCACCCCCTCCGCTTGACTGGACTTGGGCAATGCCGCAGGGCCAAACCCCAACTCAGCATCCTGTCAACATGCTGTCAATTATGCTCTGAAAGACTCCTTGGAAAGTGGGCTAGGCACAGGGCATGTTTCAAATCCTTAAGTGCATTTAGCACTTACGCATTTTCATCCTTTCCCCTCCTGCCATTCTTCCCTTCCATTCATGCTGTTTTCCTTCCTGCTGGCATGATCCCACTCACTCTGAGCCTAGTTTTCCTCTTTAAACTTCATTAAACTTGCTGCCTTTTTCATACCATTATGTACAACGTCCAGTGTTTAATGTGTTGCACACAAGAGCCTGGAAACCTTTTCCTGCCACATCCCCTGGAACATTTTTGGCACAGCCAACCAGGAATTAAAGAGTCCTGGAATCCATGGAGACCTTGCCTCTGACAAACACAGCCAAGATGCTTTTCAGGTTCTCAATGGCCACTCTCACTCTGCAAAAATAAATTCCTCCTGTCTTTAATACATGCAAAACCCCACTACATTTTTCACTGGCCTTATCCAATTCTTTGTTCAAGACAACTAGAATTTAGAAAAAATAGTTGCATCTGGCAGGGAAGGGTGGGTTGGTCTTGGAGGAAGGGATGGGTTCCCCATAATGACCTTCCATATCTCTTTAGGTCTTTGCCTGTCTTGGTTATTTTTCTCTCATTGCTGAGAGAAAATACCTAACACCCAAAATTAAGGAAGGAAAGGTTTATTTAGCTCACAGTTTGTGGAGGTTTCAGTCCATAATCGGCTGGCTTCAAGGCAGGGTGGCTTGCACAGGGCAACACTTCAAGACAGCAAAGCAAGAGCAAAAGGAGAGGGACCAGGCTTCTTCTCCTCCCTTATGTTATAAGCAGGTTAGCACTCACACCCCCGGCAGGTGTGGCACCCATATCCTCTCCCTGCCCTCCTACTGCACAGATAGAGGATGTTTACAAAATAAGAACCCAGGTTCCCTGTTTAGTCCGTTAGTTAAACTTCTAAACTCAAATTGACACAAAGAATCAACCATATAATTGCCCTCACTCCACAAAAGAATAAAGAAGCAGGGCTCTTAGCAGAAAATGAGGGAGTCAGGACTGATACAGTGCAAAATGAAAATTTACAAGAGCTGTTTTAACAGCAGAGTAAGCTACAACATAGTCTTTGCTCCTGGGAAAGGAACAAGGTCAGGTCGTGATTTCTTAAACATGCAGCAAATGTGAGTCACACTTTCATAAAGATACAGTAGTGTTTATTTCTCAAGCACATCATACATGATAAACATATTATGATTTTACAAGTGTGGTCACAGATAAGCATGTGATGACCTCAGTGTTAGTCATCCTGGTTTTGCCCTGGGTCTTTGTCTATGCCCCTCTGTATCCCGCCTCTATAAAATCTCTACAAGGAGCTCATGGCATCCCAGAGCCATGATAACCACTAGTACATCTCCCAGTTAAGCAAACTAAGCAAGTGTCATCCCTAAAGTTTAATCATCTGGTGTTTGACTTTAAAATGATTACTAACAATGCTTAATGCAGAAAGAAACAGAAGACACTATAGAGCTTCCAAAAATCAATCTTTCTCAAGTGACTGGGCTCATATTGGTGATTTCAAAGTCATCCTACTGTTTGATTAAGTGGTGCCAATGTTAAGAAAAAATTTCTGCCCTAAAAATTCAATAGTTTTACAAAGCTTTAATTAAAAATGTGATATTGATATTTCTGGGGGCTTTTCCAAATAAATATATCTGTTTTCCAACATCAGTGTCCTAGAGTCCTTAGATTTAAAAGACAGGTCACATAACTTGTTTTGTAAGGTTGCAATTGATCCAGATGTCTGACTGGGCACAAGCTTGACTTTCATTTCTTCCCTCGGAACAGGGAAATGAAAGAGAAAAAAACCACTCTACTGTTTTTACTTTCCGTGCTCCACCCACAACTGTCAGAGCTTCTCATAAGATGCTCTGTGTGGTCCTACTATTTTCACTATCCCCTCTGCCAACCACAGGCTGACAGTTCTCCATTGCTGTGTTTCAATTAAACTGTACAGTTCTTCAGGGATGGAAACAATACCTTTTTGTACCAGTATCACATAGATGAATCTAGTTGAATCTGCGTGTTTAAATCCATTGGTTGTAAATGTCACTTGTAAACATGGCAATATTTAACGTTCTCTATTCTGAAATACATTCTTGTCCTGGTCACATCTGTTATACTTGAATTTGAATTTATGCAAATTAAAGAATTAGCAGCAAGATTGCTCTTGTTACAGCTGAAGAAGTAGGGCTACTCTCTATTACCTGAGAAATGTCTTCAAAGTAAAGTTAAAGTTTATGTCTCGTTGTGTTGACTTATCCTTTTTTGTATCCGTATTTAAAATGAAGATCGACAAAGCAAGTAGTGAGGGTTGCTTTTATTATAAAGTATTTTTTAAAAATGAAACCAGGTTTGGTGGGCCATACTTGTATTCCTAGCACTGTGGGAGGCTGAGGCAGGAAGACTGCAAATCTGAGTCCAGTTTGGACAACTTAGTGAGACCTCGTCTCATAGTTTAAAGTGAACAAAAATACCTGGGAATAGCATAAGGTGAAAGCTTTGGGTTCAGTTCACAGGGGGTGGAAAGAGAAGATTGAGTCTAAGGTTCTTAGGGAAATAATCATGAAGAATTTTTTTAAAACTGCTGTAAAATTGACTTAATGGAAAAGGGCGCTTCAAACTGTCAAGTTATGACTTATACTATTAGCCCTGCTTGGGCTGCAGTTGCTGTGGCTGAGACTGAGGATGAAGTTCAGGTGCAGGTGTGGTGGCTCCCACCGGTTTCCCAGCATCCTGGGAAGCTGAACCAGGTGTCTCAACTTGGAATCCAATCTGAGAAATTTAGGGAAACCTATCTCCAAATTTTAAAAAATTTTTAAAAGGCTGGGGATGTAGCTGAGGGTGAAGCCCTAGGTTCATTCCCAGGACCACAAAATAATACTAAATTCAGCGCTTAAGGAGTGATTCAGCTGGTTTTCATTTGAAACCTTTATTCTCTATTTTTCAATAAATGTTTCAGCCAGTGGCACATGCCTATAATTCCAGCATCCTGGGATGCTGAGGCAGGATGATGGCAAATTCTAGCCCAGCCATAGTGATGTAGAGAAAATTTGTCTAAGAATTTTTAAGAGGACAGGGGAATGCAGGGATGTAGCTTAGTGGGTTTAATCCTCAGTACTGGGGAATATGCTCTAAGGGTAATGGGAAAGATCACAATTGGCACCCCTAACCTACTTGCAGCACAAAAACTGCTTTCTTTATCCTCACTGAAGTCATTTTCAAATGTTTCTGCCCTCAATTTATATATTTCCATACGTTCTTCATTGCAAAATGTGCCAGGGTCCACTCACACAGCAATCTAATTACTTGAGAAACTGAATAGGCACAGAAAAAAATCACTAACTTTGGAAAGCAAGGCTAGTTCTAAATCCTAATCCAGAGTTAAATGTATGAGTAAATGTGAAAATAAGTAATATTAAACATGTTCAATTTCTTTTGTTACCTTCACCTGCAATTCTTCATTAATACTAATATTAAAAAGGAAACCACGTGTGCCCTCGTTAGAAGGAGGGAACTGGGGGCACCATCTTTATCTTTCTAGGACTTTACAGTCAGTCTTCTTGGGCTACCTGCATTCCCAAGTGTAGTTTCCCCACAAATAGAACTGCATTTTGACACTGAAACACAAAGAAAGCGTCAGGTGTGGTAGTGCACCCCTGTAAATCCCAGGACTCTGGGAGGCTAAAGCAGGAGGATCACTAGTTTGAGCCCAGCTTGAGCACTTTAGTGACTAAATAAGAACCTGTCTCAAAATAAAAAATCTTAAAATGACTGACAATGTCACTCAGTGTGAAGGCCTTGAGTTCAATCCCCAACCTCGTCAAAGAAAAAAAGAAAAAAGTTTACCTATGTTAAGTTGGACTGTTCTGAGCCCACTGAGAGACACTTACCTGTAATATCTCTGTTGATCTTCACTCAGCAGACAGATGGGAGGTATAGAATGGAATAGGTATGTTATAATTTGTCTGTGCTTGTTCATAAATCAAAACCTTGTAAGTGACTTATCTTACAGTACTTTTTTCTAGAGCGTCTATAACACACTTTCACAAACTGAGAGACTTGAACAGCAGAAATTTAATTCCTCACAGTTCTCTGTGCTATAAACTCAAGGTCAAGGTGTAAGCATTGCTGATCTTTCCTGAGCACTGCGGGGAAGACTGTTCTATGCCCCGCTACCCTGGCTTCTGGTGATCCTGGCAGCTTCCTTGAATCGTTGCTAAGCAGAAACATAACGAACTGGTACACATGGCATTGAAATTCTGGCAGAGATTAAAGAAGTTTACAAGGTAAATTCTACTTCAGTTGAGAAAAGGATGTAGCTATTGATGGTCTATTACTGGTTTCAAGAATAGTTTTTACTTTTAAACATTGATGATATTTAAACCCTCACCAAGTTATTCAAATCTGAGCTCCCTGTAAAGCCCCAAAATATAGATCAGTTGGAGTGTAGACGGGACCTTGTATGTCTTCAGCCATTTTTCTTTTTGCTGGGTGGAAAATTATGATTGTAGAAAGAAAACAAAAGTCAACATATTGATGCTGATGATTTTATTGATGTTTTGAAGTTGGAGAAAGGAAAGACAAAGAAGTACAGTGTCGAAAAGTCCACAGTCACGAGTTGATCTCCATCAATTTCTGAAACAAAGCAAGGAAATTTAGACAATGGTAGTAAATTATCCCAAACATAACCTATGGCAGACGGCTTTATCATTAAGTAGTTTCATTTCAGGAGATCAAATAAAGAGAAGAGAAAGAAGGACGGGAAGAAAAATAACAGAAGGAAGAAGCTAAAAGAAGGGAATAGGGAAGGGGAAGAAGAAAGAAAATGAGAGAAGAGGAAAATTTGGAGACACTGTAGAATGAAGAGTCAGGAAATCTGAAGTAACACAGATTTTTCTACATGTAGGGGTGGGGTGGGGTGATTCATGGCAATAACAGATCTGAGAAAGAGTTCAAAAAGAGATTAAAGTAAAAGTTTATAAATGAGATAAATGAACAGAAATAAGATAATGGGGAGTTTGAAGGGAAATTCCCTACACTGTTGAATCAAAGACTTGCAGTACCTGGGCATCACCGGGGTCATCTCCATCATGTTTCCTCATCACCGTTCAAAAGCAAAGCTCTGGCTCTGACCTCCCTGGCCACCTCTTCCACGCTGACCTCCCTGGCCACCTCTTCCACGCTGACCTCCCTGGCCACCTCTTCCACGCTGACCTTTCTGGCCACCTCTACCACCTTGACCACCCTGGCGGCCTTGGCCTCTTTGCTGCTTTCCACCGGGTCTCTCTTGGTCTTCCTGGTCTTCCTGGGCAGCGTGGCCACCACGACCTTTCTTCCCACCTTTGCCTTTCTTGCCATGCTGACCCTTTTGAGGAATGACTTCTGGTTCCTCTGGTGCTTCTCCATCTGATCCATCATCTGTTGAAGACCAAGAACTCAGATTGAGACACCAAGAAAGAAAGAAAGAAAGAAAGAAAGAAAGAAAGAAAGAAAGAAAGAAAGGAAGGAAGAAAGAAAGAAAGACACTGAATAAAGGCAAGTATGGAAACTACCATAACCTGAATTGCATGAAGAGTGATATTTTACTGCTTTAAATAGTTTTGGGTAGTGACCAGGGTCCAGTGTCAAAAAAAGAAGATGAAGAGAGCATGTGTTTAGTTGGTCACTTTGGTCCTTCACAGTTTATCTTGCCCCTTCTTTGAATACCTCTGTAACTATTCTGTTTTGCTATCTGTTCTGAACTTATCACAACATGCATGAAATATTTCATAAGCCACCAGATACAAAGTCTAAGGGGAATCACCAGATAAAGTCACTTTCTCTACCAGAGATATACACAATATCTTGACAGAAGTCCAGTGATCAAAGAAGATTACTAGTCATCTTTTTCTTCCCAATAACAGAGAAATCATACACTACCTCACTCTTTTCTCTCACCTACAATCTCTTAGGCTTACATTTCAATTAAAAAATATAAGTAATGCATACATAGTGGCTGAATCAGAAGATTGAAGCAGGAGAAGTCCAGGCTGGGAAATTCAGTAACTTAGGAAGATATTGTCTCAAAAAAATATCAGCAGGGATATATCTCAATGCAAAGACCTTAGGTTCAATTCTCAGTACTACACAAACAAACAAGTGTACATAAGATGCACCCATATTGTCTTCTTTTGCAAATGTCTGGATCCCATAATTAAAAGCCCTCGCCATCCCTTGCATGAACACTTTATCATCTCTTTGTGATCTCCTGGCCATCACTCTTGCTTGCAATCATTCTTTGGTAGATTGAGCATATGTTTCATTGCATTCCCTCAGAACATCAGATCTAACATTTATAGCTTGAAAAATGTCTGTGCCCTTGTTGGGCAGCTGCTGTCTTTCATTGTTTTCAGATCAACAATGAAATGATTGGGTTACTCCTTGTTTAGAAATGACTCTGTTGCCCATAGAATAAATAGAAAAATCTATTTGCCATTCAGACATCTTTTACAACCTGTGAGCACACACATTTGCATCTTTACCCCTTAATTTTGCTGAAATAGTGTTCCAAGACTACTGTAGACATGGGGATGTACACAGATTTAGCATTCAAGTCAGTCTGCTTTCTCCCACTGCTCAGTTCTCTGGTTTTCTATAAGGTCTTCCTTTCCAGCCCCACCCTGAGCTTTCACAGTACCTTCTTTCACCCCTTTTCTAACAGTGATACAAAACATCTTCCATCAGACTCAGTTCTGTAATAAGGACAGTGACCATATTTAATTCATCTTTGCAGTATCCTCAGTGCTGCCACAGTGATACTACATTTTATTGGATTCATAGCAAGAGAAAGAACGTATGTGATCAAAGTGTTTCTTCAGTAATCCTTAGACAGGCGTATTGTCACAATAGCAGCTGAGATCAAGTATCTGAAGCAAGAAACAAATCAGCCTGTTGTGGTGGTGCACATCTGTGATGCCAGCACTCAGGAGGCTGAAGCAGGAAGATCACTGAGAAGTCAAGGCTATATAGTGAGTACAAGGAGATCCTATATAGTGAGACCCTGTCTCAAAAAAAAAATCAGAAGGGAAGTAAAAAAACTATGTTAAGCCCATGTTGATGGTTCTTAAATCCAAAGCAAATCTCCCTCCTGCCCTCATTTTCTCTCTTTTTATCTCTCTTTCACATGCACTTTTTACTTAGTTGTTTCCTTCTAACAATGTGGAACCAAAAACTAAATCATAGAATAGTTTAGAAAGGAAGTTTTAAATCATGAACAACTTTCTATTTAAAAAGGTAGGAATTTTAGGAGTCAGGTATGGTGGCCCATGCCTGTAGTCCCAGCACTTGCCAGGCTGAGGCAGGAGGAACATGAGTTTGAGACCAACTTGGGGTACATAATGAACTGAAGGCCAGACTGGACCAAGGTGAGATCCTGACTCAACAAACAAACAAACAAATGCAAAGTAGGAATTTTAGACTTGACCAATAGCAATGAGTTTCCTAGATCTTATCTAGAAAAATTCTCAATGATTCAGTCGAACTCACATGATAGCTGGGACATTTCTCGGGGAGATCCTGCAAAGAAAGAACAAAAGGAGACTGAACTTGGATGTATCATTATGAACTGAGTAGCAGAATTGCTAACAAGTTAGGAATTAGAAAATATTAAGCAAAAAATTTTTCTTTAAACAACAAAACTTAGTTAATTCTTTTTAAGTCAACTTTGCCATTTCTTTAGTGAAATAACATAACTAGTTGTTTCTTTCATGTGGTCTTTTCTGTACTCTTCCTCCTACACAATCTTCCATGTTTTTCATTCAATTATTTTATCTGAAATGTGTATGGCTAAAAATGGCTTTCAAGTTTACACATTCTGAAAAACAATAGAACCTAAGTAGATATCTGGGGATTTAAACTAAAGAATGAAGCAACACTGTAATTTTGGTATAGAAAAAGAAATAATGTACATTGATAAATTTAATGATTCAATATAATATTTTAGGTAAATTATAGAATACTTTCTGTTCCAAATTAGTTATATGTCAATGGAGACAAATTTCTGACAAACATAAGGGATTTGTGTTTTTAAATTACTACATTAGCCACTGTGTTTTGGAAGATTTAGAGTAAAGAGTTCACAAATGAACAGATGATTTGTGTTCTGCTGATGTCCAAACTCTGCTTAGAGCTCAGACATAAGGGATTTCAGTATCACAAGAAAGATGGTTTATAATTAACACTACTGCTGAAGACTAACAAAATTCACAAGTTTTTGTTATACACTTGCTCTTTGAAACTCCTTAAATCCAATTTTGAGAACTTTTAAATGAAAAAAAAAAAAAAAGAAAGGAACATGTTCTTATACAAAGACTTACCTAGCACTTGAAGAGCTGATTCAGGACGAACCCCTGGAATTTTAAAGAAAAACAAGACACATTTAAAACATGGTTTCCTAAGTCTCAACTATGCATTGTAGATACAGAATTTTAAACTGCCCAAGAGAACTTAAGGGGAAAATATACAAAGGTTTGGATAACATGAATTAACATTTGCAAAGTAGAACTCTATTTTGGACAAGGGGTGAAGAGGAAGATAAATATTTTTCTAAGTTTCTTCACATGGAGAGCCACAGTGGTTGTAGACAAAATAAAGATGACGTGATACCTTCAACAGGACAAGTTAGACAAGTGAAATCATCTATATCTACATAGCTCACAGACCTCAAATACTCTTAAAGCTATTCCGAAACAGCTATGGGTTATTTCTTGGACTTGTCTAAAACACGTTTCAACAAACATGCTTCTATCAGGCTCCCTAAATCCACTTATTATCCATTCTGCAAGACTCTCTTCAAAGTCTCATAACCTGTGTCTCACTGTCACCTACAGCATGAATTTGACCCATTCCTAACAAAGTCCTCATTGATCCTGGCCCTCAGACTTCGTTCTTAAATATCCCAACTTTGCTCCTTCCCTCACCCCCAACCTTAGGCACTAAAACAAAATTTTTTTCTCTATCAGAATAAGAATAAACTCACCTTGGCTCTTTAATGAATCATCCTAGTGGCTAGAATATGAGGCCAAAAGAATTTTGTTGTAAAAGAATCCTTTTTAAAGATTCTGACCAACATTTACAAGCCTTTCAGGAAATCTTACCATTTGGGAACCTAATTTCCCATGGGCAACAAATGTGTATTATTATAAGACAACAGGTTTAAAACTCAATTATTTTGCCTCTGAGTACTTGGTGCCATTAAAATATACCATACATTTAAAAGAGCAACAGATTGAGAATTTGTTTTCTGCTTATATGATATATAAATGCTTTTATTATACCTGAAATTATCCATTTCTCAGAATCCACAGGTTTACTATAAAAGCTTATTGACAATCAGATGTATGACCAAACTTGTATTTTAAGGAGATAAGTAACAAAATGGAAAGGCTTAAATAACATCTGAATAATTTGATAAAATAAATGTAAATTTGATCAAAACTCAGTGTTTCAAAATGTTTAAGTGAATGAAATAAGAAGATATCTAGATGAATTATAGATCTTTCACTTTATTTAGAGGTCTCATTTTACCCAGAGTGTATTTCTGAAAATTCATACATATACTAATACTATATTGTGAAACTTGTACCTACCACGAAGACGCTGGCTTAGGACTGAGGCCATCATTGAAGGCATTTCCAATCCTTGAAAACAATTTGGAAACTAATATTACCTCCCCTCTTTCTGAATATATTCAGAAGTACTTTATTTCTGAAACATATTAAGCCAGTTCCTCTTTCGCACGAACTGTACCCCCATGATCCATTTACAATCCCATTTCCATGCTTACCATCCTCTAAGTTCTGAGCTGAGCTCAGGGCCAACAGAACCACTGCCAACACAGCTAACAGAATCCTGACTGTAGCCATGGTGTCTTTCTCCTTCGATGCTGGAGGGACTTTGGACACATCATTTATAAGACCAGGAAGGAAGCCTGTGGATTGGGCGCTTCTCACTTGCATCTAATTTTCCATTTGAGCCTTAGCCAGAGTTGCCTTAAAAGTTTGATCAGGCTCTTCAAGGAAAAGCCAAGAATTTCTTTAAGGTCTTTAAAATAAGTGCTTATTCTCCTCAACAATTAGTTCTCATTATAAACAATAGTAACTGTCTTCCATGTTTTCATCTCACATTCAGAACTATGGTTCTCTGTTCTATTTCCAGACCTAACATTGCTCAAACTCTGCACACACCCATTTCTTTCAAGTCCCCTTCTCATAGAAGGAGCCAACAGGATCATCATGAAATGAAAGGCTGATGATTCACAAGATCAGAACACAACAAAGCATCAAGAAGGAGTCAGCCGATTATCTTATCTGGCTTGAGAAAATGAAATAAGTTGCCAGTAAGAGACCAAATCCCACTTTAGACTTCTGAAAATTATAGTTATTCAGAGTATGCTTGAGTTCATAAACTGAACAGACTATGAAACCTTAAAACTAGAAATTATCACATTAATGAGTGCACTGGGAAATAGTATCTATGCTGTAAGACTCTTTGAGTAAATAAAAGTGCTTAGTTTGGAAGGAGAAGAGATGAATAAACAAGATAGTCATTCTTGTTGTATGGTACAAAGAACAGTCTTGTTTCTATATTCTATAATATACAAATCTTTTTGATAAAAGAAGGAAATGTAATTGTTTACAAAAAATAATTCTTAAGGATTATTTATTTTAAAAGTGTGCTAAATAAATTTTAATTATCTTAGAATAATATAAATCTTTTTAAAATTACTAAAACTTGAAATAATGCATTGAATTCCCCAGGGAAATCAATTTCAGCCACTGGACACGTGTAGCAACTAGGGTATCTGTGATCAATTGGAAAAACAGAGTCCTTGATGTAGAATCACTTGTGTCCAGCCATCTCCTTAAAATGAATCAGTGGAAGTCTTCTCCCTTCCTTGAAGAAAAAGACAAAGGTTGCATGACTTTCTGTTCACTCAAATAGTCAAAATCTAATTTGATATAAAACATAACCTCGATTCTATGCATTCAATCCAGTTAAAATCTCTACCACAAGTCTGAGTAGGACATGGTTTTGAGTCATTTTTTTCCTCTGTCAGCTAAATCCTTCTACCAAAAATAAAATTATTAAAATTTATTTAGGCAAGTCACTTGTCTCCCGGCCAAAAGCTACTTTCGGCTTTTTTCAATCCCTTATTTATCTGTACATTCTTTCCCCCATCTCCAAGGAAATGTCTTTCTCTTTTGGCTCTTTCTCCTAAAAAGATGTCAAACTGTTGTCACATATCCTTGAAAATTTTATTTTAATCTTGCTTCTTTTGTAGGATATTTCTGATTTTTCTTTCACTTCACTCCCAGATGTAAACTTTGTTGTAATACTGGCTTTAATTGTTTGAAAAGCTTTTGCTATGGAGCTCAGGCTGGCCTCTGAACTCATGGTGATCCCCCTGCCTCAGCCTCCTGAGGGGTAGAATTACAGGCATACACCACCATATCTGGAATCCAGATGTAGTCTGTTTTTTGTTTGTTTGTTTATTTTGTCTTTTTGAGACAGGGTTTCACTATGCAGTTCAGGCTGAACTTGAGCATACTTTGTGCCCAGGATGGCCTCAAACTCACAGCAGTCTTCCTGCCTTGGCCTCCCAAGTACTGGAATTACAGGTGTGCACCACCACATCTGACCTCAAATGTAGTTTTTAATAGTCTACTTTGCTTCTTTCAGTTATTTTCTCTTCATCCATGCATCATACCAGTTAGATACAGTGGACTGATAAGTACACAAATCATAATATGTGTATTGTACTTCAAATGTACAAGCAATGTTCTAAGTGTGTAAAATGTATAGTTACCACTCATTTGATGCTTACATAAGTATCATTTTTAAATACCTAAATTATTCAGTATCTTTGTATGTAATTTAATCATATATACAAATGAACTTGTTTCGCATTTACATTCACTCATTGAAATCTGGCTCCCTCCAGGCGTGGTGGTGCAGGTCTGCAATCTCAGCTCTTGGGAGGCTGTGGCAAGATGATTGCCAGGAGTTTAAGGCTATGATGAGCTACATAGTGACATCAAGGCCAGCCTGCAGTACATAGTGACATAGTAATACCCTGTCTCCAAATAAATTCAGTCAATAGTTTCTTTTCTTCCTTCATTATTTTTTATCTCCCTTTATTTTTCTAATACATAATATTGCTTGATATTCACAAAGGTTCATGACTTAAATACATATTTAACAATTGTTTCACTCATTGTTCTGCATGCAAATTTTCTTTTTTGTCTGCCTTGCATCTTTCTGATTTAGAAATTACCAGTCATCTAAATCAGAAATCTGGAATTTCTTACCTTACTCCTATCTACTAACTTTATTACTATTAATTCTGTATTTTCTATTTATTATTTCAACTGTTAGGACCCCACTTGGAATTTCAGCTCCATCTGCTGGGTGGAGGAGTATAACTTTTTGACCTGTCTCTCTGCCACCAGTAACTGCAACCGGGGTGTTGTTGTAACTGAAGTTACCACTTCTCATGTTGATTGGTTGTGTCCATTTGAGTAAGACAGGCTCAATCAAACTGGCTCAGCAATTCCACACCTTATGGTGTGAAAGACCCACCTGAGGATAGCTTGCCAGCTGGGTATTATTAAAGGAAAATGAAAAAGAATGGATTGGCTTCTGTTTCTTGAGAGGAGCTCCAGTCTCTGCCTTCACTTTGGACATCATTGCCTAGTTTCCACTGCAGACTCCCAGCACAGATCCTTCAGCTTTCTGGTTGAGACTCTTCAGCCTTCCATCTCAGACCATCAGCCTCCTGATTCAGACTTGCATGGGACATTGCTGGGAGCTCCAGACCTTGGATTAAATCTTTTGGTCTCCAGTGTACAGACACCCTACTCTTCCTCATCTGACTCTGTGGGCAACCATTGTAAACTACTCTTGTAAATTCTTATATACTTTTATACCTGTTTCTTTAGTAAATACTGATTAATACACCACCTTAACTTTTCTAAAAGTAGTTCAGTCACAACATTGCTACGTGAAACTGAATCAATATGATATACAAGTCACTTCACAATTTGAAGGAGCTTCCTATGTTGTTATTCTGCCCAATGGTAATAATTTATAGTAACTAAATTAGTGTCCTCATTATGTCTTGAAAAATGAGATATTGTTTCATCTTGGTGACATCCTTATGATAACTTTTAAGTCTTGGATAGCCTGAAAGCATATTTTTCTCTCTCATTAGATAAATAAATCTAAAACATTTTTAAAAGTTTACTCTAATGTCACTTTTGTTAAGAAGCCTTCCTTCACTTTCCTTAGTGAGCAATTAGTTAAGAATTTTGCAAGGCATTGATATTGATATCAAATCAATACTTAGAAC